CACCATGTATGAATGTGACTTGGATACAATTCTTTAAGTTTTTCCTGTACTCCATTATACTCTCCATTCATATTAGCGGCCCCGTTAAAGGCATTTGCAACAAATTTATCTAATCTAATATTTTTAAAAGTTAATGTTAACTTCAATAAATCAAATAAGCCTTGTCCTGAAAAGGAAATTACTTTTTTAAAATCTATTACTCTTTCCTTACTCTTTTCACTACTTCATTTCACCACTCTCTGAATCCACTTAGTTTATTAATTCACCAACACTTTTACCACGCTTCTCTATGGTGTTTTGACTCTTCGTAATCTTTAATATGCTCATAAACATGGACCCAATATCTATATCCAGTGTTGCTATTAAGAACTGGCGATCTAGAGCAGCATACTAAACACGTTAACACAAAATAAACAGTTATATTCATGATCTTAAGACTTCTAATTTCTTTTAATTTTTTTCTATAATCCTGGCATAAAAAACATAATAAACTTAAGTGATGTTAAATGGCAAAGGAAAGCCGTCCAATATTTTACGAATACAAAATTATTTTCCGGATGAAAAACTGGTTTTCTGGGTTTACTGATTTGCTTTGAATCGCTATTACAATCAAGGGTCCGGATATTGTTCTTAAAGTTCCTATACGATATTTATTCCGGAACAAATAAACTTATTATTTCCAGAGTAAACTAACTGCCTTACCATCTATTTATTTACATAGGTAGTCATAAAACATAATAGTCAAATAATACAATACATTAATAAAAAAAAATAACATAATACATTATACTTTAAGCACTATTTACTGTCCTTTAAATAGTATAGGTTTGTTATACCAATTCCTTAGTGATTCTGCCTCAGACATTTTTTTAGATAAATAATTTATTTGCAAATTAAAATAAGAATTAATTATTAATTTCATTAATAATATGACATGGTTATTTTCAGGTTCAAAATCAAAATTATGAAATTTAATAGACTCGAATATTTTCGAATTAGATACAAAGAAATTTAAAGTTTTATAACTACTAACAATTTATTGATTGGCTTGTGGCCAGATTGATAAACTCTTATATTTTTTTCAGTCTGCATACACAGTTTAATTAAATCAGAACTTGGGTATGACAAACCACAACATTCATCCCTCAAATTAATTAAAGATTTGAAATCATTTTTTTTTCTCCGAAAAGTGCATTAACACAGACGTCACATTTTATTTTAGTTTCTAATTGATGTGCAACAAATACAGCTTTATAAATAATAGCTTCTTCGGAGAATGATGATAAGGAATTAGCATTGGCAATATAGTCATAGTTTTGTAAATACAATTGTTCCGTATCTTGTTCTACATCAATATTACGTAGAAGACATATTTCGTTTATATATTCCGTCGGTTCTTTCGTTTTAACACTCGTTTTAACTACTTAAGTGTTCAGTATACCTATTTGACTTCTGATAAACATTGTTTAGCAAATTCCATCCAAGCTACCAATGTAGGATTCTCTTTTGGAAATCTAATTATTATATTAAAAAAGTTTAAAAAGTCTGATTGTATACGGTATTATTTTATATTGTGTATTTGTGTGTTAGAATATAATAAATAAATATATCAAAGTAACTAAAATACACATTTTATAATAAATTATATTGTAATTCTTTCTTAAACAATGACATAAAAATTACAATTTATTAATGTATGTAGTTAACTTACTTATGAAAAGTTATGCCTTCGTTTTTTACTTAGGCCACTTGCCATCTCCCAGAAAAGCAACAACTTGGCATTTTATTTATATTAAAGTCACGAAACTCGACAGTAAAAACGTACAAAATTGAAATTTAAAACTATTAGAAATTCAGCCGCAGTAATTGTAATGAACTCGGGGTAATAATTATAATGAAATAGAAATGATATCAATTCATATGATTAAATTTATCGGAATCGGTGTTTGTGTGATAAAAATCGCTGCAATATTCTATACACGCCGATATACATAGTGCCGTCTCTATATTATTATTACTCTGAGAGCGAGCGTAACACAGATAATGCTGATAATGCTGCCGATGCCATTCTGATGGCAATTGCCGGTTCTAACCTGCATTATTTTTGATCATGACATGTCTCTCTCTCGGAAAGTTCACATCTGATGACAGTGTTATGTAACTGCCACAGAGTCACAAAACACGAGGAACTTGGATAAAACCTACCAGAAGTCACGTGGCGGCCGCAGCGACACCACTACAACTGCTGCGTCACCTAAAACTATACAGATGGCCCCAGGTGTCTCACGAAGCTACCCTAAAAATGTCAAGTCGATAACCCCATAATTCCGGCTTGTAGTGCACTTATATGTACACAAAATGCCAAGAGGTAGGCCAGATAGGTATGCCACACATATGTCAGCAAAAAATCGAAAAAAGAGTGTTTGCGCTAAAAAAACCTTAGTAGCCCCAAACTAGAGATCCCAACGGAAATATTAGTGTGAAAATCTCCGTTTTCCTCGCTTGAAGTCGCATTTGCGCATACAAAATGACAAAAGTACACTAAACCCGTGTACTGCCAATTCCATTCATTTAGAAATGCTCTGAGTAATCATTTTCTTGAAAGAATAGGACTTCCTTGACTATACAACACCCTGAACGAATCGTAAAACTGCTTCGAAACACCAGTGGAAGGCAAATCAGACTAGTAATTTCATCTTGCGATAGCTGAATCGCTCATTCAAACTTGACTTTACTTGACAAAATGTGCTCCTGACCAGATTTGGTAAATATTCACGTATTCCTGTTTAGTACCTTTCTGTTAATGATATTCGCTATCGAAATTCCAAATAGCGGAAAATGAGTTTTATCCACCTAGATCGGGGAAATTAGACACTGTGCCGCGCCTGACCATGGACATATTGCTGGATTAGCATTATTGATCTACAGCTAAATGTCAAATAAATATTATAAAAATGTAACGCTTAATTTATTTTCCCACGGCTATATTCTACTACATACTACAAGTCTGATAAAAGCATGTTTCAGCACATGTGTATGCGTCAAAGCGCCAACTCATTTTGGATCATCCGACAACGTTTAATTTGTTTTAATTAGTTTTAGTTTTGATGCAGAGCTGAGAAGGTATTGGTACAATGATGTTTTTATTTTTTATATCTAGACCCACGATATCTTTAAAACCTCTAAACCGATTTCTTCGTGTAGCAACTCTATAAATCGTACGTGAAAGGAACTTTATTTGGCCAAAATTATAAAAAGTCATCCCTTTCCCATCAAAATCGAGAAAAATACTGGAAACGAGTTTGGTATAGATTGGGTGCCAGACAACGTGGAGCACCATATGCTGAGATCTTCGGACCAATGGAGGGCCATAGTCGACTATATTAATGCAGTCCTCTCAAAGAAAGAGGAAGATGAGAGACAGAGCCATGTGTGAGTGAATCAACAAGTATCTAATGGAAACTTTTTCATTATATTGTTTATTACGATTAGTGATGGAAAAATCCGGATATTGCGAAGTTCAAAAAATCGGAGTTTTAAACTTCGAAATTCGAAATCCGGAGTTGTAGTATTCGAACTTCGAAAACCGGATTTCGAAGTTTTCGTTATAAATCCGGATTTCGAAGTTCTCGTTATAAATCCGGATTTCGAAGTTTTCATTATAAATCCGGATTTCGGAGTTTTCATTATAAATCCGTAGATTGAATTTCAATTTTTTTACAATAATAAATTAATTATATTAGTTAATTATTTAATATTATGTACAACGTGTTTATGTACACAAAAATATTTAATTATTTAATTGGTAAATTAGGTATCTGTTTTTATAGTTATAAGAACATTATGTATAAACACATTTACAAGTCTCAATGACACTTTTATAATAGATTAGAACAATAAGTTATAATAATATGAAAAATAAACAACAATATATATAATATATATATATATATATATATATATATATATATATATATATATAAATGAGGAAAAATAAAAAAATACAGCATACTTACTTTGTATTTAAACTAGATTACATTTATGAAACTTAAAGTTCATTAGAAACATATAACTTAGGGTAATTTAGTTGAAGGTGTCCGATAATAGCATTTTATAGAGGATTAAAAGTCAACTAATTTGAACAATTTAGTCATCTTGTACTGCTGAATTAGTAATTACAAAATGGCTTTATGAATTTTAAAATCGGTAATTTGGCTTTTTATTTAAACCCAGGTTACGGTTTCTGAAGTTCAAATTTTGAAATCCGGATTTGTCATTAAACCAGGATTCTTCGTAAAATCCGGATTCTTCATGAAATCCGGATTCTTCGTAAAATCCGGATTTTTTTCATTGAACTTCGAAAACCGAAAACCGGATTTTGCGGATTTTAAGAAAATCCGGATTTATTTCCCATCACTAATTACGATACATGGGTAACAATAAAAATACATTTTTATAGACTACTTGTACCTACCTAATACCTAAACTAAATTCATTTTTAAGCTCATCATTGTCATTATATACAATGCTTTTATAGATATTTGTATTTTTATCTGTGAACACTGGACTTCCTTTAGGTACTAATACTACTCACTTACGTATACTTTCTTACTGTACTGGTTTGAACCTAATATCCACAGATTCGCATAGAAGCATTTATTTAAAAGTGATGTTATCAATTTCAATTATAATAATTTCTGTAACCAACCCGACCCCACTGTTATTAACTTAGGAATTGAAAATTGCATTAAATATACCAAAATATATGAGGAAAATCATCCACTTATCATAGACAATTATACCTATACTGATATAAATTGATAACGCTCAGCTTTAATTCTCAAATACAAACAAAATGGTAACACATGCTAAGTTTTCATTGATAATACATGTACCCCAAAATCGCGCCACGGTCTCTAGCAGAATAAAATGTGTACTATTATGTGTAATAGTACACATTTGTTATTATACATTTCTGGCAACACACACACACGTCTCTGATGCTAGGCAACGACAAACGACGTTATGGCGAAAAAAACGTTTAGACTCGTTATACAACACATCGCCGTTTGTCTATCTGAATAAATCTTACACGTCCAACACGGGTTACACATCGACCAGGCCCAGTAATCTGACGTACTTCGAAAAAGACAACAAGCAGCAGCCGGACACTGCGGCGCCAGACCACAACAAATATGCGGTAAATATGAACGTCAGGAGGTACGCAGCGGAAAACAATACGGAGTCGTCATCGTCGTCCGCATACGCCAACAACAAGGGGGTGACCGGCATACGGAACATCGGCAACACGTGCTACATGAACTCGGTGCTGCAGTGCCTGAGCAACACCAAGGGCCTGACGGACCACGTGCTGGACGACACAATGGCCGACGGTATGTTGATACGGCCGTACCGCGACCTGTTGGCCAAGCTGTGGACGGGCACCGGCAGCCCGGTGGACACGACCGCGTTCAAGGCTGCGTTCCAGCGGTTGTCGCCCCGGTTCGCCGGCTACGAGCAGCAAGACTCGCAAGAGTTCTTGCGGCTGCTGCTGGACAAGTTGCACGTGGACATCAACCGGGTGAAAGTCAAGCCCAAGTGTCCGGCGGACGTGGACGACACGCTCAAGGATAACGCGCTGGCCACCGAATACTGGCAAAGATACTTGGCTTTGGACAACAGCGCCGTCGTGGACCTTTTCGCCGGTCAGCTGAAATCGACGTTGGAGTGTTCGGTGTGCGGACACAAGAGCATCACTTTTGAGGTAGGCATGGGTGTGTCCGATATACGAATTAAAAAATTTAAGACATCAAGAGAAGAGCAGGGAAAGTGAAGGTGCAGGATAACGTAGGAGAAAGATAACGCCAGGGGAAAAGATGGGAAGGGAATGAAGGAAAATTTTGCCTTCGTTATTTCGTAATGTTTTTTAGGTGTTCTGGGACTTGTCGTTGTCATTGCCGTCCGGCGCGGTCGATCCGGTGTCGCTCGAGGATCTGTTGACAAACTTCACGCAAGAAGAAGTGCTGGACTTCCGCGAGAAGCCGCGGTGCAGCGTGTGCAAGGTAGACCGAAAGATGTACAAGGTGTACAGCTTCCATAAGTTGCCCAGATATCTGGTGTTACACCTGAAGCGTTTTCAGGGCACGCGCTCGTACAGGAAGATCACGTGTCTGGTGTCGTTCCCGGTGGTGTCGCTGGAAATGGGCCGGTACGTGTCCGACTCGGCCCGCGGCATTCAGACGCACACCCGGTACAACCTGTACGCGGTGTCCAACCACTCGGGCACTCCCATCGCCGGACATTACACAGCGTTCTGCAAACACCCGGTCACCGGGGACTGGCATTTTTTTAACGACAGTTCAGTGTCCAAAATTACTTCGACCAGCAAACTGATCAGCAATGAGGCGTATATACTGTTCTACGAAGCCACCTCACGTTGATGAAAAAAAAAGCAAAGTTATATGAATGAATCCGCACAAAAAGCTAAAAAACAACGGCCATATGTTTTTTACTTCAAAAACGAATAAAAGCACAGAATAATGTGTGTATTATATAATTATCTGTATAACACGCGATTATAGATAAACAAGTTACGCACCGGGGCCGACGATTATGCTGTTTGTAGAGCGCGCCACAAGGATGCATTCCATCAATAGTCATTTCCTGTCTAACGTGTACTAAAAAACTGTTTTTATAAAACAATAAGCTTACAGTAAAAACGTATTTTTTTATTAATGATATATTTCAACGAAATATTTATATTAACAAATAAAACTAGGTAATATAACAAATAATTACATAATAAATCGATTGTACAACAAATAAAGTTTTAAAAACACTGGAAAAGAAGAAAAAAAAATAGGAATAATTATAACAAAAATAAGAGTGCTGTCTGTCATTCCCCGTTTGAAAAGCATTTCTTTGGTTCGGGCAAGTCTGGTTCTAGTCCTGTTAAGGCAGTTTACCTTTTGCCATTCTCTAATAGTTTTCTGTTTTCGTCTAAGGTTAAGAGGGGCAATATTTTATACGTTGAGTTCAGTATTTGCTGCGCGGTTGTTTAGGTGAAATTAGTACACTTCAGTTTTATTGGGGTTTGTGCATAGTCTCCATTTTTTATAGTATTGGTTCAGATTCTCTAAGTAGGAGTGACACTGAACGAGATTATGGCGCATTCTAAGGCGAGAGTACGAAATTTTTTAAGATATTAAGATTGTGATACCGTGGAAATGGTGTGATAAGAGGGTTAATAGATTAATATAAAGAAGCGAATCCGTCAGGAAGTCCTTGTTATGAGTTTTTCCACTAACGAAGTAGGGTGGATTTTAGTAAGGCGGACCAATTTAGTTAAGTCGTGATTTTTTATAATTTGTACTGATATAAGAAATTCAGAGTCCATTGCATTTTTTAACATATTGGCCTCGACTGCAGTAACATCTTCCCAATTTGCCATATTTTCTAATGAAACTACAACATATGGAAACAACTGGACAAAATCATTAACGGCATCATACCTCTGGATCCATCTGGTAGCACACAATATTTTCAATGATTTTATGCTTGGTGTCGAATCACAATTATTAAAAGCTTCAAAAAGTACATTTTTGCGTTTAGGAGTATTAAAAAAACAATACAATTTTTCAATAATTCCAAGGCAATTTCGAATTGGTTGCAAATCGCACGCAGAGGATACTGCCAAGTTTAATGAATGTGCAACGCAGTTATTATATAAAATAATAACTTCGGTGGTTAGGTATAAACTGAATGGTGGCAGAACACTGCAATTTGTTTATCTTTAATTTTTGTATTTTTTTTTATGAAATAGTTGAAACACAATTATTTACAATTTTTAAACTTTATTCATTTTTGTATATTTTTACGTCATACGTATAGTGAAAAAATACCAATGGGGGGGTTTGAACACATAAATTCACCCCCTCGTGTGTACGCCACTGCCTAGAGGTGAGAAAAAATGAGGAAAGCGATGATGAAAAGGAGCAGAAATAAAATTAAGAATGAGTGTGACTGAGCGTTGTTGGCGGTGGGGGTGGTTGGTGTTGTTGTCCCTATCGCTACCTGGAGGTCGGTTGTCCGCTGTCCGACCGGTGCTAGACAGTAGCGGAGGGGGGGGGTTGTTGACTAGCCCACAGATTATGGCGTTCATTTGTTTCTATGACGCTTAATCTATGGTGTAAATCATTTCGAATTAGGGGTGCGGCGTGGGGGGGTTGTGCCCCGTCGACCAAGCTCGACTCCCCATATTGTCTAGGGGAGGTAAGTTACGGGGGGGGTTAGGGTGGTTGTTGTCCCAGGGCGGTTGTGTTATGGGTAACGCCGCTTCTATACGCTGAAGCATAGCCATGATCCCCCGCTAGTTCACCCTCATTTGGGACATGGCCGTTTCTAGTTCGGCCACCCGTAGATCGACACGTCCGTTGTCCGTCATAGACCGTATGTTTTGACGGATCGCGCCTATCTGCTCGCTCGCCTGTCTTAAAGTATGAATACTTAACAGGTCTGTGGTGGGGTCAGAAGTGGGGTGGGGTGCGGGTGGTTCTACATCGCCTGTGTGCCTAGTTGTGTTAACTGGCCGGTTCTGGTTGTTACATAGGTCCAGTGGGTCATCGCTGTTAAGTGAATGGTACGAGTGTGACAGAATAGATAAGGGTGTGTGTATGTGGCTCCCCCGCTCCCTATGGGTGGTATGATTTGGGACGAGTGTAAGGTCCGTTCTTTATTGCTAGTGTACTACTATATACCATAATAGTAGTAATTTGGTTCCGTGTTTGTTTACGTGAGCCGGCGGTACTGTTTACGCTACAGAGACGGCCCCGCGTGATAAGCTCTACGGGTCTGGCGGCGCACGGTGGTCGCCGGTCGCCTGTGTAGTGAGGTGAGGTTGGGTGAAGGGGTGGTTCGCTTGGCCGTCGGCGGCTACAACGGTTCGCGTGGAATTAACCGTGTGCTGGCTAATGTCCACGCGACGTTTGTTATGAAACAAGGTGTGGGGCGGAGTAGGGTATTTACCAGGCGACTGTATGCGCTTTACAGCGATATTGCCGAACTGGTTCCTAGTGCTAAGGCTAGCCGTGGGCTATTTTAATCCCGCGCTGTTCGCTCCGTACTTGTTACGACGACTAGTGGGGTTTCCTACTCTCACTAGGTCTAGTCATTGCTCGGGGGGGGGGGGGGGGGAAGGTAACCAAATTTTCTCTACTTTAGGGGTTTTACCTAACGCTGAAATTACTATAAGCAAAAAAAAACGACCGTTTCCTTAAGCCAGCAAAACCATCTTCCTTTAATTCAAACCGGGATGGATTCCAATTTCGGGGAGCCAATTTGACGCGACACTAGGGAGGATCGGCGTCTCGCTAGTGGGCGAATGGGCGCGATGACGTGACGGTCGGCGTTCCGCGAGAAGGCGAGGGACGGTGAAAAGAAAAAAAAAAGTAAATAAATAAATAAATCGCCAAGTTGATAGGTGTTCGAAATAAGGGCAGAGCCCGTTTATTTAGACACTAAAAAACAAGTTAAGTATTAAACAAACAAAAAAACAGTAAACGGACGGCCCAGGTCGTGTAAAATCGGCGGTGGCAGCTAAATGCGCTCGCGTTAACGACGTGGAGCGGAGAGAGCGAACAACCGGAGAAAGCTTGGTAGCGGCCGGCTGCGGCCGTTTCCCCGGTGTGGACTTTGCACTCTCCTGCTGGACGGTGGGAGAGTAAGTTCACAACCGAGTGTCGCGCAATATGTCGACGGGTGACAGAGAGGTACAGCGCAGGCCGAACCTGTGTGATAGGTTGAGGAGGTCGCGTCAAGTGGTGTTTCAATTAAAACATAATATTAGTAATGGATTTTAAATATCATTAAATGGTTAAAAAATCATTTAAAATAACACACTTGAAATTTCTGTATTATTTAAAACAGTTGACTAAGTATAATATTTCTTAAAACATAATATTTACTATTTTTTTTCGCGGTTCCCTCAGCCTGGATGGTGTGCGCGGCGTACGTGTGGTCGTCTAACGGGTCTTCTCTGAGGACGAAAGCCGGCTTCAGGCGGACCACCGACAACCACGATGACCCCTGTTGTTGAGCTGGACCAGGAAATCTTTTTCCCGCCGTTCTAGCACCGCGAACGGGCCTTCGTACCGTGGCTGTAGTGGAGGCCGAGAACTGCATCGATGCGGACAAAAACGTGAGTGACCCGGTCGAGGGCCTCCTGCACGAAAGTCGCTTGCTTGGTGTGGTTGCTGCCCGCTGCCGGCCGTAACTGTGCCATTGCTTCACGCAGTCGACTGACAAGCTCCGGCGATCGTGTCTCTGGCGGGGCGGGATGGAAAAGTTCGCCCGGAAGCCGCAGAAAACAAAATCGACGGGCGTTGCCTTCATGTCGGACTTATAAATACTCTGCAAAGCCAATAGTACTAACGGCAGCTTCAGGACCCAATGGGCCGAACCATGCGTCGTAAGCGCGGTCTCAAGGGTACGGTGCAGCCTCTCAACCATCCCGTTAGCCTAAGGGTGATAAGGACTGGAGCGGATGTGCTTGATACCGAAAGTCGACGCCAACGCCGTGAACAATTCCACCTCGAACTGCCGACCCTGGTCCGTAGTGATCACGTCAAGGTCACCAATTTGAAGGTTAGGTTCGGATGCGTTCCCTAACCACCAAGACGCTTTGTTATTTGCTTAAATATAACAGCTCGTATATTTTACGTGTACAGCACGAAGTTATTAACAAATTAGGAACAAGATTACAAATAATTAACGAACAAGATTAAACACAAGTAATTAACAAAATGTTTGCGTGGAAGAAAGATGCCGAGCGTGTAGACGAAGTCGTACGAGATTGAATTGCGGACCGTAGATGGCTGCTGGCTGCGGCGGCGTCCTAACGCTTAACCCGGCGCAGTAGGTGGTGGCACGGTAGGTAGTGGTACGAACCGACACCGCGTTGCCAGCGTTTCACCGTGGTAGAGTAGGTGGTGATATCAACTATTACCACAACATTTTTTTAAATCAAATACTGACAGTTATTTAATATTATTTAATAAAATACAGTGTAACTAGTTCATAAATTATACATTATTATAAAATATACTTGTTAGTTGTTTTAAAATATATTTGTTAAACTATACAAATTTAATTTAACTATAACAAAATAAATTAAAAAATAGTAGTAAAAATGAGTAGTTATAAATATAGTTCTTGAATAAAATGGTAAAAATAAATAAATAGTAATAAAAATGATTATAATAATGGTTATTGTATAAAAAGCTGTGGTATGTACTATTATGTATTATTTATTTATTTATTTATTACGAACAGATGTCCAATTAACAATGAAATAACATAACATGGTAAATCTAAATACAACAGTTATAAAACAAAACTTAAAAATTACATAATATATAGTAAATGATAAACATGCAATATATTT